GAAATTCCAGAATCAGTCAGCCTTTCGAACTACTGCAGAATTCATGAGCAGTCAAGAGACAACCTAGCGAAATGAAACATCTTAGTAGCTAGAGTAAAAGCAAGCAAAAGCAATTCCCGTAGTAGCAGCGAGCGAAATAGGAGCAGCCTAAATCGAGAAAATAGGGTTGTGGGATAGCAATACAAGAGTTGTGCTACTAGGCGAAGCGGTGGAGTGTAAACATGTTGAACTACCCAAGTGAGGGGCCAAATCAAAAATCACATGCATAAATTGAATTAGGAAGCATCCAGTTTACATAGTCAGCCATAAGAATGTTTAATGCTGTGACATATACGTGAATGTTATTGGCAGAGGCTGTAACTCAAATTAGATGATTGAACAATTGAGTGAGGGATTCTCTTCACCAATTATATTTTTCAGAAAGAATCAAAAGGGTAAATTTATCATATGCATGTATTTAACTTCAGTCTACACATAGAGGCCCTTCTAGGATCTATCATCTTGTGAGCACAAATGTCAAGCAAAAACTTACAGCTTTTGCAACAGCAAACCAGTGAAAGGAACGCAAGAAAACATCATCTTGCGAGGGAAGACTGTCGTGATTCCATGATGATATGTTTTGAAATTTTGCATTCACCTGCCAGCAATTCGAGTTTTCTGCAGATATATCAGAAGCTTTGTTCTTGTCAGCATTTTTCTTTCCTATGACAAAGCCTGCATTTCNTTTTGAAATTTTGCATTCACCTGCCAGCAATTCGAGTTTTCTGCAGACGTATCAGAAGCTTTGTTCTTGTCAGCATTTTTCTTTCCTATGACAAAGCCTGCATTTCAATGATCGGCGGTGACAAATACATTTTGAAAGATTTAAAAAATGTTAGATATACAGGACCTCAGATATAAAACAAGTTACAAGCAACCAAACACGAACTCAAATCAGGACGGTCTCATGAATCATGTTCCATCATTGTGCTCTATCAAGACTAAATTTGCTATTAGTTAGACCACATGTTATTGTATCTTTTTCCAATATTTCATTTAATATTAACTTCGATCTACCTCAACCCTAACATTACAATTTACAATTAATAAGTGTCACATCCCTCCTCTTTATTGGAGTAGCAACCAGTTCGTCATAAACATATTCAAACCACCTAAATTTATCCCCTTTCTATGGAAAGTGCTATAATAGGTCTCTAATGAACATATCAAAACCCACCTAAATTGATCCCCTTCCTATGGAAAATTGACCCCCAATGTAGAAAATTGTTGGGTCTTTTGTATCTCTTGATTTTTCATCTTTACTACCTCCCGAATTTCTACTGTTACAAAAATTGAATTTCCTATTTGCAGCTTTAGTTTTATTTACCTTGAATCTTCTTGATTATGAAGTAACTCTCCATACTTCTAATTTATTACTAAATTCTACTTTAGTTTTATTAATCATTGCTAGATCATCAACAAATAATATGTCACAAAATCTCATCTTAAATGTGTCTGCTTAATTCATCCATAAACAAGGCAAAAAGAAATAAACTTAAAGTGAAACCCAAATGTAAACCTAAAGTGATTGAGAATTCAATAATCTCATATAAAACATAGATATAGACAAAGGATATGAATGCAATACGAATGGACAAATCTTAAAAAGTAGCACCTGGCACAACTATGGCATGCTACACATAATTTGCCATATATATTAAGTTACAAAATTTTTAAATAAACATATAGCTATAATAATGCAATATAAGAAAATATCATTGATGCATCTCTATGAGCTTTTAAATAAATGGATCGATGTAGTTGATAATCACTCAATCCTTAAAAATATAGAAATACAGTGTCGCATGCACCTATAGTCATAATAACTTTTCTCATCTTCCCAAGTTGTTTCTTTATTCAAATCTTTTTTGTCTTCTACGTTTTTTAGGTAAAATGTCAATTAAAATTTTAATAGAATTAGTCTTGGCGAAATTCACATTTCCGAAAGTCATGCAAAATTTCTAATTTGTTGATCCCATGTTAACAAGTATCCAAGAATTGTCATCGCATAACTAGTTTTAGTTGTAGACACAGCAGACACATTGCCAACATTCTGTTAAGGACATGTCCCAAACTACAATTTCTAGTTTCTAATTATGAATATGATCAAAACTCAAAAGAGTATCGAACACGTGTCCACGAGAGTAATATCAGTGTCTGACAAGTGCCTCACACTAACACGTCACATTCTTAAATATGTTTGTACTTTGTACTTATTAGCCACCCTCTAATGCAATTGTTCTCACTAAAACAATCACATGCTCTTACATATCCTTCATCATATCAATTTATCTATTTGTAACACTTTTTTTTTAAATCCACCATATTATATCCTTAGTGGATCTATCATAGGCCTTTCATAAATCTGAAAACCAAATGAAGGTATTCTTTCTTCTCTATTTATTTTTCTTCCTTTCTTAGAATATAGCTTCCATTATGAATCTTACAGAAATAAATTAAACTGATCACAGATAATATTTTTTTGTGTTTTAATCATTTTCTGATCACTTTTTCCAAAAATTTCATTGTATGACTCATTAATTAATGTCTCGATAACTTGTGCAGTGTTGAATGCACCCCTTAAATTTGTATATAGCAACAAAATCTCATTAGAAAATTTTCATAGTAGTTAAAATTTTATAAAATATTTAGTCAACCCAGATAACCTGACATATCCTTAAACACCTCCAAACGTCGTGATTTTATTACCTCACAATTTTTTCCATGTTCCCTCACTAAATTACAAGGAAAATTCGTGGTTTCTTCAAAATTCAAAAAAATCCCCCTATTTTTCATAGGATGTTTCAGTTCCTCACACTCTCCCAACAATCAAACAAGGAGAAAAAAAATTCCTGTCTTTTTTGCTGTCACTAGCTAAAACTGATCTTTTAAAAGCTGCAGTAGAATATAATTGCTAACTGAGAAAATCATTCAGGATTAGCTACCCAAAACAAAATAACTATAACCATGAAACGGGCACAGAATCCTAATCAAATTAAATCCTCGCACTAAAACCTAAAAATAGCCTAATCAAAGCCTACAAAAGGCATCAAACAAACACCAATGAAAACCAACTTAAGAAAAGAAAATGGGCGAGAAGTAAATTACCGGAATACCCCTCTGGGAGTGGAATAGTAGTGCCTTGCAGCTTCCTTCCTCTGAAGTAAGCTTCCTCTATTTTAAGACCATCAACTTCAATCCCTACACATAGACACACATTTATATTACACACACACACACACACATATGTATATGTAAATGCAGTGCACCATACCAGTGGGTTTGGGTTTGAAGTAGTCAGAAACAGAACAAGGACCGTCGTACTTGATACAACATGGCAGCTGATGGACCTTACCAGTCAGATCCACCACCGATTCCGTCGGAGGACCGAAATCGATGATCCCAACAGTTCCCATTTCGCACGAACCTCCATTTCCGTCCATGGACCCGCACTCCACAAAACCCTCCAAAATTCCAAATCCCTCAAAAGCCCTAGTCTTACAATCCCGCGCTTTTGTGTATTTAACCAATTATTTTTTTCCTTTTTGAGTTTCTGGCAGTCAGAGCTTTGTATTTAATTTTTCAAAAATTAGGAATAAAAAGTCAGAATTTCAAAAAATACTATTAACATATTTTCGGCAGTTTTGAAGCAATTTTTTTTTTAAAAAAAAAAGATGCAATTTACTCCACACTTAAAAACATCATTTAAAAGAAAATATTNTTTTCATAGTAGTTAAAATTTTATAAAATATTTAGTCAACCCAGATAACCTGACATATCCTTAAACACCTCCAAACGTCATGATTTTATTACCTCACAATTTTTTCCATGTTCCCTCGCTAAATTACAAGGAAAATTCGTGGTTTCTTCAAAATTCAAAAAAATCCCCCTATTTTTCACAGGATGTTTCAGTTCCTCACACTCTCCCAACAATCAAACAAGGAGAAAAAAAATTCCTGTCTTTTTTGCTGTCACTAGCTAAAACTGATCTTTTAAAAGCTGCAGTAGAATATAATTGCTAACTGAGAAAATCATTCAGGATTAGCTACCCAAAACAAAATAACTATAACCATGAAACGGGCACAGAATCCTAATCAAATTAAATCCTCGCACTAAAACCTAAAAATAGCCTAATCAAAGCCTACAAAAGGCATCAAACAAACACCAATGAAAACCAACTTAAGAAAAGAAAATGGGCGAGAAGTAAATTACCGGAATACCCCTCTGGGAGTGGAATAGTAGTGCCTTGCAGCTTCCTTCCTCTGAAGTAAGCTTCCTCTATTTTAAGACCATCAACTTCAATCCCTACACATAGACACACATTTATATTACACACACACACACACACATATGTATATGTAAATGCAGTGCACCATACCAGTGGGTTTGGGTTTGAAGTAGTCAGAAACAGAACAAGGACCGTCGTACTTGATACAACATGGCAGCTGATGGACCTTACCAGTCAGATCCACCACCGATTCCGTCGGAGGACCGAAATCGATGATCCCAACAGTTCCCATTTCGCACGAACCTCCATTTCCGTCCATGGACCCGCACTCCACAAAACCCTCCAAAATTCCAAATCCCTCAAAAGCCCTAGTCTTACAATCCCGCGCTTTTGTGTATTTAACCAATTATTTTTTTCCTTTTTGAGTTTCTGGCAGTCAGAGCTTTGTATTTAATTTTTCAAAAATTAGGAATAAAAAGTCAGAATTTCAAAAAATACTATTAACATATTTTCGGCAGTTTTGAAGCAATTTTTTTAAAAAAAAAAAAAAAAGATGCAATTTACTCCACACTTAAAAACATCATTTAAAAGAAAATATTTTTTTCTTTTTTGTCTTGTTTGTGTCTTTTATTCCACTTTCAGGCAAGTCCGATTGATTCTTTTAAACCCTCTCATTATTATTCAACCCTTCGAGTGGTACAAGCCGACAAGAAGAGATCTGATCATGCTCTTTTTCAAAAGATTTTTACATAAAGCATGTCCAAACATGCTTTATGTATTTGTAATCTCAATTTCACTTTTTTCTTCTGATTTGTTTTTAACAGGAGANAGTTCTAACCCTTCGAGTGGTACAAGCCGACAAGAAGAGATCTGATCATGCTCTTTTTCAAAAGATTTTTACATAAAGCATGTCCAAACATGCTTTATGTATTTGTAATCTCAATTTCACTTTTTTCTTTTGATTTGTTTTTAACAGGAGAACAAACACATCTTTCATGTAAAAACTTATGAATAAGTCTATTTATGTCAAATTTGATCTCTTTTTCACATGATTTCAAATAATCAGGCTTGAGCTGCTAGCGGACTTCCACTTTTCCATTTTAACATGACTTATTTTGATTTTTAATTTTTTNTTTTGAACCTTATTCTGAATACATTTTGATTTTTAATTTTTTTCTCAAAGTATTAATATTTATATAAAAATGCAGTTTAAACCTCTGTTTTCGACTGAAATANCTTATTTTGATTTTTAATTTTTTTCTCAAAGTATTAATATTTATATAAAAATGCAGTTTAAACCTCTGTTTTCGACTGAAATAATGGTGCTTTTAAGAAAATTTATCAAACTGTTGTTCAATAATAGTATTTACACAGTGATTTTGTCATAGGGAATTATTCCAACCCAATACATAGCACACATCCGACAAAGCATTTATTCGACAACGCCCTAAGACATGAAGGAAAATTCAGACATGAAATGGAACAAAACTCTTCATAATGGCTTTCAGAGGGGAGGAATGCCCATAGTCAATTTGCTCATGCTTCTTTATAATAGTATTACAACATTAACACCATTACAATATAAGAACTACAACAATAATAAATTATCTTCACTCTGACTCTATGCCTTATCCTCCTATCTGAATCTGCAAATTCAAGATTTACATCAAAACTTCCATGGTCAAACGGCGTCATGNTAGGAATGCCCATAGTCAATTTGCTCATGCTTGTATATAATAGTATTACAACATTAACACCATTACAATATAAGAACTACAACAATAATAAATTATCTTCACTCTGACTCTATGCCTTATCCTCCTATCTGAATCTGCAAATTCAAGATTTACATCAAAACTTCCATGGTCAAACGGCGTCATGGTGCTGTGTAAGGCTTCCTTTTGAGCCAATTGTCAGGCCAAGTTAATAGCTCGATTTTAGGCCTCAGTATCACTATACACGGGGCTTTCTAAATCACCCATTTCTGCAGAGGCAAAAGACTCGACAGAATCTACAGTTGAGAGAGAAGAGGGAGATTCATCAGAATCTGAGATGACATCATGATTCATAGTGATGTGGTCTTCATCAATTTCTGATGTATCTGATCCAGATGCTCCCAACATAAGCTTGTTAATTGCAGCCTTTGCAGTTTCAACAAACCATTCATCCTCAGGGAGAGCACTATTGAAAAACACGACTTTTTAGTCACAGAAATAGAACACGAGTAACAAAATATACCTGTATACACATAAATATGTAACTTGCATATATACATATATGCAAATAGAAACAGGCACCTTTGAGGGTCAATGCCTCTAGCAGAGAATGTCCTGATTGCACGAGCAATTATGGCCGAGGCTATCTGATGCACATGTCTAGATGGGTAACCAGCAAAACGTGCAATTTCAACGGTGAAATGCATGTCTAGAATCAACTGCCAAGGACAATTCAAACCAGAGTCAGCAAGAGAATAGGTGGTGGAAAGTAGATTGCATATAATATATAAGGCACACGGATAGATCTCAATTATGAGAAGGTTCGCTTAGGCTTAGACCCACTGGACGGTTCTGCAACAAATATGACGACAATCTATTTCATAAGAGACATGATGACGGTTAGATACATCTGTGGGCCCAAAGAAATTCCATGTGACCTTGTCCAACTCATTGCTAGCAAGGACTTCTGATTTCTATTGTATATGCATGCAATGAAACAAATTTAGTAAGCAGTGCTTGGATCAGTAACAAAAAAAAGGTACAGAGGTTACTTATATACCCATCAACTTGGTAACTCATTCAAAGGTAAAGTACAGTGATGGAATATCCTCTGAACATTGTTTGGATAACGACAAGAAAACCAGTAAAAAAAAATCCAAACTTGCATAACACCCACACCTCATTTTATAATTAAGGCTAAAAACTTGTTAAAAACTTTTGAAGACTAAAGCTGTCTAACCTAAAAACTTTCTGAAGTTACAATTATTGTTCAAAACTTAAAAGTACAAACCCCCATGAATATTAGTCACAAAACAAAAAATCCACCCCATGGGCCATTGCTTGGTGAGATGGGAAACAGTTAGACTGCCACATGTGAGAATTCAAGCATCAATACAAGGCAGTCTTCTTTACAATAATGGCAAGTTACATACCTGGTTCCTCTCAGGATGCGACATTTATGGACCAAGACTAAACAATGGCATTTTCTTGCAAAAAAACACAAGAAAAAGAAAACAAGGAATAACCCAACAAAAGGACAGAAATATTTCCCATCAAACAGCTCACTTGGTCAATTCTCTATCTAGGCTTCCACCACATTGCCACCATGAGAATTATTGATTCTGCAACACTGAAATCTTATTATCTAGCCTTTTGGCTATTTCAGTGACCAATCGTCACTTACTGTTGGAGTATAGTCTAATTTATTAGGGTTTCTTTTTCCTTTTTTTACTCTTACTATGACTTTTATATTTTGCCTAGACCACAAGATTGTTTAGGTCACTTTGTACTATTATTTGGCTATATATACGGAGCTCTACTCTTACTTTGAGTATCTCTTTCACTCACATGTATCTCAAGTTGATATCAGAGCAACCAACCCTAACCCTATCTCTAACCCTAACCTCCGCCAAACATCGCAACCAGCGAGACAAAAGACACAGCCAACGGCCACCCCCATCCATTGACTACCTACACCGAAATCACTCCACTGACTGTGAACACCGAAATCAGCCTCCATTCCACCGATTACCTACACCGAAATCAGCCTCTACTACACCAACTGCCTACCAGCAGTAGTCTTCACACAGCCAAAAACCAGCAACCCAGCCAAAAACCAGCAACCCTATCAAACCCAGCAACCTCAATCACCAACAGAAACACAACCACCGACAGCACCCAACCACCGATAGGAACACAGCCAAAAAGAAGCAACCACATCAACCCCCAACAGCATCCCAGAACCAGTGACACACCGACAAAACCTACGACACATCCACAAAACCTACGACACACCCCACTACCCCAGCCTATCCGCGACGAACCCAGACCAACTCCAAATCCAACACAATACCCACTTTAGCGAACCAGCCCACTGCCGGGTCACGTTCTTCGTCACAGCTTCGTTTTTGCCTTTGTGCTTCGCGCTCTTTGTCTTAGTGCCACAACATCTAGGACCTTTTAAGAAGGGTTGAATTCCCTTCTCCGTTGATCTGNGTACCCACTCTAGCGAACCAGCCCACTGCCGGGTCACGTTCTTAGTCACAGCTTCGTTTTTGCCTTCGTGCTTCGCGCTCTTTGTCTTAGTGCCACAACATCTAGGACCTTTTAAGAAGGGTTGAATTCCCTTCTCCGTTGATCTGCTCTTGATGCATTAGATCAATTATTTATATTTACTATATTTCTAAGCATCGTAACCTGTCGTTGGATTTACACCCTAAAGTTTATTGCGGATGATACTATTGATCGTCGCAAGGCTAAGCTTGTGGCGAAAGGCTTTACTCAGATATCAGGTCGTGATTTTAGTGCTACCTTTGCCCCCNAATGCATTAGATCAATTATTTATATTTACTATATTTCTAAGCATCGTAACCTGTCGCTGGGTTTACACCCTAAAGTTTATTGCGGATGATACTATTGATCGTCGCAAGGCTAAGCTTGTGGCGAAAGGCTTTACTCAGATATCAGGTCGTGATTTTAGTGCTACCTTTGCCCCCTAGGCAAAATTGACTATTGTTCAGTTGATTATTTCTCTGGTTGCAGAGTACTCTTGACCTCTTCATCAGTTAGATGTGAAGAATGCGTTTTTTCACAGTGATCTAGACGAGATTATTTATATGAATGCACCACCAAGCTTTCGTGATGAGGGGGAGTATGCTGGGGAGGTGTGTCAACTGCATAAGTCTCTTTATGGACTGAAACAATCACCATGANCTTCATCAGTTAGATGTGAAGAATGCGTTTTTTCACAGTGATCTAGACGAGATTATTTATATGGATGCACCACCAAGCTTTCGTGATGAGGGGGAGTATGCTGGGGAGGTGTGTCAACTGCATAAGTCTCTTTATGGACTGAAACAATCACCATGAGCCTGGTTTTCTCAGTTTAGTGATGTCGTTGTACGCTTAGGGTTCACCAGATGTCATTTTGATCATACATGTTTTATTCGACGGAATACTTCTGTGCAGTATGTCATCCTTTTGGTATATGTGGATGATATTATTATTACTGGGATGATATTTCTAGGATTGCACAGGTCAAGGTAGACATTGGAAAGAACTTCGATGTGAAGGACCTTGAATTTTTGCGATACTTTCTTGGAATTGAGGTTGCCCATAGCAACAGAAGTATTATTCTTTCTCAGACGAAGTATATTCTGGATCTTCTCTCGAACACTGGGATACTAGAGTGCAAACCGGCATCATTACCCATGATTCCTAACCTAAAGCTTATTGCAGAAGGTGAGGAATTGAGTGATTCGACTATATTAGAGGTGGGTATGTAAATTTATCTATCTAGCCAACACTAGGCCAGACATTTCATTTGCTGTCAGCCAAGCTAGTCAACTCATGCACAGGTCGTGTCAGCCTCATCTTAATACAGTTTATCATATTCTTCGATACCTCAAGTCTTGTCCTAGACTTGAGTTGTTCTATGTATCAGGATCTCAAACTGGTTCTCTAAACTGTTATTCAGAGTCAGGTTATAGACGAACGTGTGACGGTTGATCTACTACAGGTTTCTATGCTTTTCAAGGGGCTTATCTTATCTCTTGGAAGAGCAAGAAACAATCAATTGTCTCTCGCTCGTCAGCAGAGACAGAGTATCGAGCACTAACATATGGCGCATGTGAGATTATCTGGTTACGATCGATTCTTGGCGAGTTAGGATTTTTAGTGACTTTTTCATCTACATTATATTATGATAATCGATCTGCTATTCAGCTCGCTTCNCTACGATCGATTCTTGGCGAATTAGGATTTTTAGTGACTTTTTCATCTATATTATATTATGATAATCGATCTGCTATTCAGCTCGCTTTTGACTCTGTACTACACGAGAGGACGAAGTATATAAAAATCGATATTCACTTTCTTCAGGAGAAGGTTAGCTATGGTATTGTCACTCCATTGTTTGTAAGGACCAATGATCAGGTTGCGAATATTTTCACCAAACCTGTCACTCTATCCATTCTCTGAGAATCTGTCACTCTATCCATTCTCTGAGACTCCGTTGTCAAGCTTGACTTAGTTGATATTTTTGCACCTAGCTTGAGAGGGAGTGTAGGAGTATAGTCTAGTTTATTAGGGTTTTTTTTTTTCCTTTTTTACCCTTATTATAACTTTTATATGTTGCCTAGACCACAAGGATGTTTAGGTCACTTTGTACAATTATTTGGCTATATATACNCCTGTCGCTCTATCCATTCTCTGAGACTCCGTTGTCAAACTTGGTTTAGTTGATATTTTTGCACCTAGCTTGAGAGGGAGTGTAGAAGTATAGTCTAGTTTATTAGGGTTTTTTTTTTCCTTTTTTACCCTTATTATAACTTTTATATTTTGCCTAGACCACAAGGATGTTTAGGTCACTTTGTACAATTATTTGGCTATATATACAAGACTCTACTCTTAGTTTGAGTATCCATTTCACTCACATTTATCTCAAGTCTTACTAATTGGAAAAAAAGATTCTAAAAAATAGCTGCCAAATAAACATGTACTAGTAATAAAAATTACTTAAAAGTTTTCTACTTCTTGAATGCAAGTCAGTAATAAGGTCCAAAATTCCTAAATGCAAAATAATTATTAGGTCCAATCGAATTCAATACTGGTTTGCTTTTCGGGTTCACCACCGACGACTTGGAACGTTNACTTAAAAGTTTTCTACTTCTTGAATGCAAGTCAGTAATAAGGTCCAAAATTCCTAAATGCAAGATAATTATTAGGTCCAATCGAATTCAATACTGGTTTGCTTTTCGGGTTCACCACCGACGACTTGGAACGTTATGGCCAAAGACAATGATTCTTAGAAGGAAAGAGAAGTCCATTGACTACCTCAGACCTTGCTCGCAAAGACTATCCACCTTCAGCATTTGGTACTGAGGAGCCCAGCCATTAAGCACAAACCCAAGCTAAGCGCATGATACTGTGTAACAATAACGTGGGTAACAACCCTCATGTCATCATCAGATATCGATATCCATGACAAAGTCGTTGCATCACTTACTCCAACTCCCTCTAAGCTCAATACAGATCCAAGTGCACTAGAANGCCAGCCATTAAGCACAGACCCAAGCTAAGCGCATGGTACTGTGTAACAATAACGTGGGTAACAACCCTCATGTCATCATCAGATATCGATATCCATGACAAAGTCGTTGCATCACTTACTCGAACTCCCTCTAAGCTCAATACAGATCCAAGTGNCCCAGCCATTAAGCACAAACCCAAGCTAAGCGCATGATACTGTGTAACAATAACGTGGGTAACAACCCTCATGTCATCATCAGATATCGATATCCATGACAAAGTCGTTGCATCACTTACTCCAACTCCCTCTAAGCTCAATACAGATCCAAGTGCACTAGAATTTTATGGCACAACTGTATATCTAGTATATCTATGGCAAGTTTAAAAGCAAAATATTTGTCATCTGAATTCCATTTCAAGTGGCCTTTGCAAAAATTACAATTATAAGTTGTTCTTCGGTTTCAAGGCTAGAGCCCACACAAGCCAAGACGCATATTTAAAAAAAAAAAAAGACTACGTCCCATAACCAAAATACAAATACATAGACCAATCACACCTTTAATGAAGTCACAAGTTTTATAGAAAACATAGATCATCGTTCATCATACAGTAGTAATGTATTTCAATTTTTTGATTATATAACGTGTACTTAAGAGGTCTATGGTGTGTAAAGCATGCCAACGCTTTTCGTAGACAATAAAAGAATCATATGCATAAATATCATAACATTAGATTATATCAGTGCCTGATAAATGTCAAAAAGTAATATAAATTTGATACAATGCTTAAATATAAATATAATGTCCAAAATTACACCAAGCATAGTGATATAGTCAACCTTACAATTGGTACTACCCTTTACATTCAAGTTAGGGAATATATCTATTATTTTCTAGTATTTCATAAGCTTTATGCCATTTGATCCAAT